CAACCGTGCTGGTGACCCATGGGGCTCCTCCACCTGGGAATCTCCTGGTCTGTGGGCAATAAAGATCCATCTGGAAATGCGGCATCCACTCACCCTCTGCACTTTCACTGGGAGCTGCAATCCTGAGCTGCTCCTAAAGGGCCATCTTGGATCTTCCTCCCCACATTTTCTTTATTTAGTCTATCATTGATGAGTATTTGGGTTGATTCCATCTCTTTGCTATTGTCTATACTGCTGCAATGAACATATGTGTGTGTGTGTGTCTTTATAATCTTTATAATAGAATGATTTGTATTCCTTTGGGTATATAACCAGTAATGGGATTGCTGGGTCAAATGGTATTTCTGGTTCTAGGTCTTTGAGGAATTTCCACACTGTCTTCCACAGTGGTTGAACTAATTTACATTCCCACCAACAGTGTAAAAGCATTCCTGTTTCTCCACAGTCTCACTAGCATCTGTTGTTTCTTGACGTTTTAATAATTGCCATTCTAACTGGTGTGAGATGGTACCTCATTATGGTTTTGATTTGTACTTCTCTAATGATCAATGATGTTGAGCTTTTTTTCATATGTTTGTTGGCCACATAAGTGTCTTCTTTTAAGAAGTGTCTGTTCATATCCTTTGCCCACTTTTTAATGGGTTGTTTGTTTTTTCTTGTAAATTTGTTTAAGTTTCTTGTAGATTCTAGATATTAGACCTTTGTCAGATGGATAGATTGGAAACATTTTCTCCCATTCTGTAGGTTCTCTGTTCACTCTGATGATAGTGTCTTTTGCTGTGCATAAGCTCTTTAGTTTATTAGATCCCATTTGTCAATTTTTGCTTTTGTTGCAATTGCTTTTGATGTTTTCATAATGAAATCTTTGTCCATGCTGATGTCCTGAATAGTATTGCCTAGATTTTTTTCTAGCGTTTTTATAGTTTTGGGTTTTACATTTAAGTCTTTATTCCATTTTGGGTTAGTTTTTATATAAGGTATTAAAAAAAGGTCCAGTTTCAGTTTTCTGAATATGGCTAACCAGTTTTCCTGGAACCATTTATTAAATAGGAAATCCTTTCCCCATTGCTTGTTTTTGTCAGATTGGTTGAAGATTAGATGGCTGTAGATGTGTGTTCTTGTTTCTGAGGTCTCTATTATGTTCCATTGGTCTATGTGTCTGTTTTTCTACCAGTACCATACTGTTTTGGTTACTGTAGTCTTGTAGTATAGTTTGAAGTTGGGTAGCATGATGCTTCTGGCTTTGTTCTTTTTGCTTAGGATTGCCTTGGTTATATGGGCTCTTTTTTGCTTCCACATGAATTCTAAAGGTTTTTTTCCTAATTTTGTGAAGAATGTCAATGATAGTTTAGTGGGAATAGCACTGAATCTATAAATTACTTTAAGCATATGGGTAGTTTCATGATATTGATTCTTTCAATCCATGAGCATAGAATGTTTTTCCATTTGTTTGTGTCCTCTCTGATTTCTTTGAGCAGTGGTTTGCAGTTCTTGAAGAGGTGTTTCACTTCCCTTGTTAGCTTTATTCCTAGGTGATTTATTCTTTTTGTAGCAATTCTGAATGTGTATTCTTTCATCATTTGGCCCTTTGCTTGTCTGTTGTTGGTGTATAGAAATGCTTGTGATTTTTTGCACACTGATTTTGTATTCTGAGACTTTGCTGAAGTTGCTTATCAGCTTAAGAAGTTTTTGGGCTCACACGATAGGGTTTCCTAGATAGGGGATTATGTCATCTGCAAATAGAGACTGTTTGACTTACTCTCTCACTATTTGAATACCCTTTATTTCTTTCTCTCACCTTATTGCCCTGGCAAGAACTTCCAATACTATGTTGAGTAGGAGTGGTGAGACAGGACATCCTTGTCTTGTGCCAGTTTTCAAGGTGAATGCTTCCAGCTTTTGCCTATTCAGTGTGACATTGGCTGTGAGTTTGTCATAAATGGCTATTATTTTGAGGTATGTTCCATCAACACCTAGTTTATTAATGTGAAGGGATGTTTAATTTTATTGCAACCTTTTCTGTGTCTATTGAGATGCGTCTATTGAGATCATGTGGTTTTTGCCTTTAATTCTGTTTATGTGATGAATTATGTTTATTAATAATTTAAAATTGCTTAAAATAGCAGTGCTGGCTGAGCCAGGTAGCTGTTGCTATATTTTGGTAGTTTTTCATACCTTGTTTAAAATTGGAACTCCTGTAGTGTGGTGTGTGTGGGGGCTGGTGGGGGAGATTCACAGTTTAATATGTATTTGTTATGTAACTCAGAAATACTATATATTCCCCAATTAGGTACTCTTTTATTTCCTGGGTTGATAAACTGTTGAAGGTGACATGGGCATTGATGAGGAACATCACTTCCTCATAAATACCTCTGTCACCTAGTGGACTACTTGAAATCACTCAGATTGGCTTTTTCTGGTCGTGTTTACACACCAGTATGTAAAGTGTTGAAATGTCATGGGGAGCGAGCTAGGAAGTATAACTGAAGTGAAACCTGGATTTACGTGTCAATCCCTAAGATGAATTGAGTGGTTAGCCTGTACTTAGGTAAAATGTATTTTGTCCCCTGAGGTCTCCACACTCACAGGGGCAGGCTCATGCACTGTAAGTAGCTGTTTTGGTTAGCGCTATTAAGATGAGCTGCAAGGAGTGTCCCATAAGAGGTGCAAGAAAAGACCCATAGGACCAGGGATAAGGTGCTGGAAGATCTGGTCCTTGGGTGTTGCCAGTAGGAAATAATAGGACTCTCTGGGAAGCCAGCTGGAAATCTGCTTGAAGAGCCAGCCTTCAGGCCAAATATTTATGACAGGTGTGATGAATTAAAACAATGTCCTTACTATTACCACTTAATAAACAACAATTGCAATTACTAGTTGAATTTATCTGATTTGCATGTTCTATTTTATCTTTGTAACCATAGGGTAGGCTGCCCTACAAGTTGCTGCCTTTTCATAATCTGAGATTAATTATCTTAAACATACTGGGAGTGAAATCCTCCCAGCATTAGTATGAATTAGTATACTGACTATATTACTGCAAAGTTTAATTTCAGGCATCTTATTTTCAGAAAAATTGAGGAAATTCACAGGTGAGCAAAATACAGCCTATGGTGAAAATTAAATTGAATTGAGATTATTTTGATCGGTAGATAAAGATTGTAAATGGATGAAGTATTCATTTTTCCAGCATGACTATATTGTCTTTATAGTTTTATAAGACATTAGCTGAGGCATTCTTCAGTGGGTTATGACCCAATCTTCTCCTTACAATATGTGCAACAAAAGCACCCTGAAGATAGGGCCAAAATTTTGGTCTCAAGTTGAGAATTTAAATTTAGTCCGTTGGTTTTGTCTGGAATTTAAGATATTTATTTTAAAATTACTTTCCTGATATAATTTCTGGAAAATTAGAACTCACCTAGAGCTCTCCTAAATCCAACTTCACTTAAGTCTCACAAAGAGTCTCTGAGCAGTTCTGAACATACTGCAGAGAATAATAGGACTTAAAAATTGTTACAGATATATAACCAGTGTAAAAGCAAGATGAGTAAGTAGTAATATATATTTGTATGTGTGTGTGGCTTGACTTAATTATTCAAACATTGGGTTCGTTAAAAATTATCACATCAGAATATGGATTCTTAAGGTAAGAGTTGCTTGATTTAAAGGTTTATTGCCTTTGGGACACAACACCTCACACAGTTTGGGGGTTCTTTTGAGAGAGAGAGAAAAAAAAACACAGAAAGAAAGGGAGAGAGAGGGGGGCTTTTTATCATGTAATATATTGCTGGGCAAGCAACAGTTGTCTTTCATCTCTTGGGTTTTGGCTCCAGACCCTTTGGTTGCTGAGATTTGGTGTTCTCCATGTTCCTGGATTCTGAATCTGCTGTGGTTGTGCAATTCCTAACTTCCTTGTGGCCTGCTGTGCTCGTTTCTTCCTTGGTCCATGATTTGGCTCTTCTGGTGGCTTGTCTTGGCTGGGCACACTTGAACACTCTGCCATCAATTTGGGAGTGTAATGTCAATATCGAAGCAGACTATTTACTTATGAAGAGATGGTAGCCACTCCTTATACCCAGTTTTTCATATTTTATTATTATGGTAATTTCTTTCTTTTCTCAATAAGTATTACTATATCCATTGCTAGAAATTTTGGAATATATATTTAACTTCAAAGCAAATAAACTACTATAAGTCTATACCACATGTAAACTTCTGGTGAATAGAATTACAAACTAGTTTTCCAGTGAATAAGCACCATTTTTTAAACATTTCACTTTAAGATATAATGTTCATTTACACATGCCATTATATTTTCTTACAATGACATTTTAATGTCTGCAGAGTAATCCATTGTAAATATATCTCATTAGTCCGTTCCTTACTTTGGACAAATTTAGATGTTTATATATTAGATCGTTTGTGAGAAAGACCACTCCATTTTGATAAACTTCATTTGTAATCAAAATGGACAGAAAACTTACTATATGGTTTCTTTTTAGATTTAGCATGTAAGTCATGGTTTTGATTTTTATTGTTTTATGCTTTTTTCCTTGGTTTGGTCTTTGTTTATTTTTGGACTTTCATTTGTTGGTGGTCCAAAAAGTAAAAATTCTTGAGGCAAGATGTTTTTATTTGCCAGAACCTGGTACAAAACTGATGGTATATAAAACAACAGACCAGGTAAAATTTCATGTCACTCTTATGTGGAGAATGTTGGAATTTTGTTTTATTTGATCCTTTTCATGTGAAAGTTTATTAAAATCTTTTTAAGCATATCTGAAATTGAAAACTAAAACAACAACCTCAGCATGTAGAGTGAATGTATAGACTTGTTCAGCTCTCCCCAAAAGGCACCAGATAAAATTCAGTTTGTAAAACAAGGTAACAGTTAAAATTATTCCATAGCAAATATACTGAGCCAGCTTTCCATGCCAACTCATAAATATTTCCATCCACATGCACTTTCCAAAGGGTAGTCTCCCAGTTGCAATTAAATTTCAAGCCGTTGCATATTTTGTGGCTTTGGTAATTTTGCCTATACACAATTAACATTCTGAAAATGGCATCCTTAAATTATTGTAACTGTAATACATTTTTCTTATAGAAATGTACTTTCAAATCTTAGGTATTACAGTATAATAAGATAGATTCCAAATCTAAAGACCTCTACATGAATAAAGTGGTAAGTATGCAGTGCTCTTTCATAGATGAACCCATAAAGGAGAGCTTTAGACCCAATGGTTATACTAAGAAAAACTAATAAATTCATCAAAACCAAATACTAGCATGATGATCTCAACCTTGAAACAGGGAAAACTCAAATGTTCGAGTCCAAAGAAATGCAAACACTGACTTTCTCAGTTTCTTGTGGCAGTGAACTTTGTTTGATTCTATTCTTCAGACAACTAGACATCCCATGAAGATGCCTTGCCTGTCTTCCTTTGTAATTCTACTTGGCCTTTCTTGTTCTTTACTTTAAAATATTTATATCGTAGTGTGGTAAAAATTATTATTTGTTGAGTGCCCACTATCTTTTACCATTGGTCTTTGATGCTTAATAATTTAATCTGCACAGTAACTCTATGAGGGAATTATTGCTAGTCCTGTATTACACACAAGAAAATGGAGGGTTAGAGATGTTGAATATCACCAAGGAGCCAAAGTTCAGATTTTGGTTTGGAGGAAGTAAGTGCCACAAATTAGATTCCTGAAAGCAAACTATTGCTGGAAAGAAATAAACTACAAAATAATGTACTAGTAAGTATTTTTAGTCTAATTTTTGTTTCTGTTTTTTTTTGATATTCTAGAGAACTGTAAATTAAAGATGGCAAAATAAGTCCTAAATAGAAATTAAACCTGCACTGAGGCTACTGTTCTTATATTTTCTGTTAATGCTGATGAAATCTAACTTTGGAAATAAGAGTCAGAACTGTAAAATTACTGAAAGGTTAAAAATCCTTTCTGGTGATGCCAGTAGTCATTTAAAATAAGTATTTCATATTACTTCAATAATGTTTTAATGACTCTACCATTCTATCATTTTGTAAAGTTTACTACCATTTGCTTTCCATTAGAAAATCACTTTAAATTAAGGGCCCTGTTAAGATGGAAAGTCCATAGGCTGTAAGAAGTTAATAAATGAGAGAATATTCTTTTGAATTTCACCAAGGATCTGTATGTGTTGATTAAAGTATAAACTCTCAACTTAAAAATTGTTTTTCTATCCTCTTCCATAGCACAGCTATTACCAGAGTAGAGAACATACTCTTTTAGCATCTTCCAAGGCACTTATGTCTCCTGAAGTGTGTCCAGTAATAGAAGGTATTTTACTTCTACTTGAAGTTAGAGCAAAAGCTGCTCAAGCCAAGATGAATTAAGCTACCTGCCAGCCATATTCAAAGGAAACAGAGAGGCAACAAGCCTCTGTGGTAAAGTTCAGGTGAACTCCCGCTGCCTGGAACATGGTAGCTTATAAACTGTTGTGTTAAGTGTTAAATTTCTACCCTATTACTCCAAACAAATGGCATTATTGCCAAAAGAAGGCCCAGAATGCCAAAATAAAGTGGTGCAGTGGAAAATTCAACAAGTAATGAGTGTTAAGATTAATCATCAAGGAAATGAATAGCCTTGGCTTTACGCTTGGGAGTTTAAGAAGACAGACAGCATTTTTGAGGCACAGCATTTTGAGCAGACAGCACATTGCCCTTTCTTTGTAGGAGTATTGTGAAATAGAAAGAAAACTAGATTGTAGTGCAAAGATCTGAGCTTTAAAAGGGAAGAGTGAGTCTCTCACGTTTGATCTCATTAAATCCTCACAACACGGGCTCAAAGATGTTAAAAGATTTGTCCTAGGTCAGAGCTAGAAAGCAACAGAAATAGAACTTAGCTATAGGTTCATCTAACCCTGGAGCTGGTCTTCTGGTCACCCTTACTATTTAAAGAAGATTATAATCATGTTCAATACAATCACTTTTCTTGAGGTGTCATCTTAGTATCACCTGCTTCAGAATCATTTGGAAATCCCCATCCTGTTCCAGGCCTGGCAATCTAGCCAGTCCATAGATGTGCATTATTACACACATTAAAATTTGACAGCTGCTGCTCAAAAAGAGGTTATGGAAGACTGTGGAAAAGCACACATCAAAAACAGTACTCTCACAATTTCATATTTTAAAGTTATTCAAAATTAAGTTTAACACAGGTATTCTCTGAGAACAAGAAGCTATTTGAAAATAAAGAATACAACTCTGTAAGGGAGGCCTGACAAAATATTTGATCTTCACTGGAAAATAAAGCAGGCTGGCCAAAAGTAGGACAAATAATTTCTTGCTCCAGGTCAACACAATTCTTGTATTTTATTCTAGAGCCTGAAAGACTGTCAAAAGCAATCACATTTTTCACACTTTGGGGTGTATATACCTATTTGGATTTTGTTTCATAGCTGGCTGATAACAAGGAAAAGCAAATGAAATCATGGAATGAAGGAAATCATCCAGGCTTTTGAGAACTACATTCCTCGGATTATTTACTGAGTACATGGCCCTGGACTGATTAAACGTTTGTGGTCCAAAGTTTTATATCTTTAAAATTAAATGGTAATGATAATAATCTTAAGACTACTTTGTTTTGTTGCCATGAGGGTATATATAAGACATGTGAAGCATATAACACATCCTGATACAAAGAAAATAGTGAATTGATGGTAACCTATATTATTATTATTATAAGTGTCATTCATTAGAGATAGAACATAGAATAGAAATGTGTTCATTGCATGTGTGATATTTAAGGGAATCTGCTTTGTAAGCCATTAAGTAGAGATATATATCTCTTCTTGAGCATTCTTCAGAGGAAGCGAATACATTCTATAAATAATTCTATTCTTCATATGTCTTGAAACATTACTAAGCGTTTTGAAATAGTAACTTAATATTATTGACTTTTTTCTTAGATTTTAGTTAAGAACTACTTCATCTTTCTGATACCTATCAAGGACAAAAAGCTGACCATGCTCCATTGCTACAGTTTTAGCAGGTAGCATTTAAGTTTTGTTCTAAATGTGAAAAGGCAATTTAAACTCCAGAAATTTTAGTTTGGTAATTAAAGAAGTTGTATCTATTAGATATATGAGTGTCATATTTTAACCAATTACCAATGTTTTAAAAATATTATTTGAAGTGTGTCTACACATTCTAAACAAGAGAGTATTTTAATTTGGTGATATTCCTAATTACATGTACTTTAGGTAGTTCTGTACAACTCTTCCTGTATGTAACATAACATTTTTACCAGGGAAAATCTATTTTAAGTTAGGTTAGTAAAATATCTATAGTGTTTACACAATTATCATATCAACTAGTACCCCATGAAATAAAAACATGGATATGTTTTTGCTTGTGAAAGTTTGTTGTTGTTTCTAGGAGGCCTATAGGCGTACTTAAACTTTGATTAATTTGGGCAGGGAAAGGAAAATCTTAGGAAAAATCTCACCAAGCCTTGTTTTTTCAGGCTCTTCATATCTGAATATCCTTTTGGATGGAATAATTATTGCTGGGAGTATAATCACAAAAATCAGGACCTCTCCAACATGCTTCCCCTGTCAGTGGATACTGGGAATCAAGTACTTACAGGAGGAGAGTTAAAAAAATGTTTGGCTTCGTGAGCTTGTTACCCATAGCTCCATTCATAGACAAGTATCCCAGCAATACCTAAATATTTGTGAGTATCCCAGCAATACTTACATGTTTGTAGATAGCTGAGTAATTTCTTCTGCTTATCAGCTAAAAATTTCTTCATAGCCTGTGGTTATACTGACTTATAACAGTCTTTGATAAACTTCAGGACTTCAGTGTATGTACTTGTGAAATTTTTGATTATATGTAGCTTTAATACATTGATCACATTTCAGATTTCTGAAAAATGGGTAAAATATATTAAAAGTTTTGAAAATTTTTATTACAATTTCTTTTTTACCTATGGGTTAGTTTCTAAATATATGAGATAAAGTTGTTATTTCTTTTTTTATTAGTTTCTAACTTAATTGCACTATAGTCATAGAATGGGGTTTTGTATGACTTTTTGAAACTCTGGGAACTTACTCTATGGCTTTCTATATGATTGAGTTAGTAACTTTTCCATGTGTTCTTTAGAAGGACATGTACTCTGATTTTGGGGTCCATTCATTCAGTGTTATTTAATTATGTTGAAATTTTCTGTAGTTAGCTGATGTTTTTATCCACTTGATCTATCAATAATTGGAAGAGATACTGAGACCAGGTTCCAGGTCCTGGGGGAGGCTCAGCTCCCCCGCTAGGATGTGTTCTTCCAGGTTCTTGGTTCCTCACTCACCCAAGAATGGGAGGTAGGACCCCGCCGGGTGTGGTGAGCAATTAAGTAAATATCAGACCACAAAGAGTTTTACAGAAAGTGATTTATTTATGCAGAGAGACAGAGAAAAAGTAGAAATAAGTAAATAGAGTGAGAGCAGCTCCCACGAGGTCATGGAAGGGGATCCAGAAATGGAGTCTTTCTGGATGAGAAAGAGACTTTTAACCTGGGAGTAATTCCTGCCCCATTCAGGTTTTCTGCCCTATGAAAGGAGTTCCTTTAAACTTCTGCTGGAGTGATTGATCTTTGAGTTTTTCCTGCACACACAAAAATTAAACAAAAACCTCTAGTATCCCGGATGGAGAGGTGGGTGGAGGCATGGCGCTGGGAAGTTCTTGCCTTTGAAACTATGCCTTCTTGAGGACCTGGGAAGAGAATACATTCTCTCAACATGTTAAAACCTTCCATTATGAGGGTGAAATTTTCTAATTCTTCCACTAGTTCTATCAAGTTGTTTGCCTATATTAATTGTCAATTAAATATAGCTTTATGGAGAGAGGATTTACATACTATACAATTCACCCTGTTAGAGTGTCCAATTCAATGATTTTGGAATATTCAAAGATAATGTGAAACCATCACAACAGTCAATTTTAAAACATTTTTATCATCCCAAGAGTACCCCTCCATACCCTTTAGCTTTTACTGCCTGTCTTCCAGTATCCCACCTCTAATCCCAAACAACCATTAATCTACTTTATGTGTCTACTAGTTTCTATATTCTGGATTTTCACATGAATGAAATAATATAATATGTAGACTTTTGTGACTGGCTTTTGTTCACTTAGTGTAGTATTTTCAAGATTTATTAAAATCCAACTGTGTCAGTACTTCACTTCTTTATGGATAAAGTATTTCATTGTATGCATATACCACATTTTGCTTATTCATTTGTCCATTGATGGACATCTTGGTTCTTTCCACCTTTTAACTCTTATAAATAATGCTACTATAATTATTCATGTACAGTTTTTGTGTGGATACATGTTTTTATTTTTGTTGGAAATATACCTAGAAATGGAATTGCTAGGTCATATGGTGATTCTTTATTTAACCACTTGAGGAACTGCTAGATTGTGTTCCAGAACAGCGGCACTATTTCACATTCCCACCATTGATATTTGAGGGTTCTGATGTCTTCATATCCTTGCTGACACTTGTTATTATATTGTTACAGGATTCCTTCAGGGCCACTTCACCAGCTGAAAATTGTGGCCATTGTTGCCTCTGCCCAGGGTTCGTTTGGGGACTGCTGGGCTCCTCTGCCTGCTTGGCCCAGCGGGCTGCATTTGGCTCACAGCCCAGCCCAAACCCCATGCCTGCCATAACTCCATGCTCAGCCCACAGCCGGACCAAGCATGCCATAAGCAACTTCCTTGTTGGGCACTGGCGTCTAGATGAAGGGAATGTGGCAGCACCCAAAAACTCAGAGATGCCAGCGATCGTGGAGCCCGAAGTAATGTTAACAGCTCTTGCTTGGGGAATCTCGAGGTCTGAGTCCCCAAGAAATGTCACAGCTCTTCACTCCCAAAGCTCAGCGAGCAGAAGTGTTACAGTTTTTTTTTGCTCCCACTGTTTGGCAGGTTCTGGGTTCTTGTCCTGAGATCAAGAGGAATGAAGTGGGTGGACACGAGAGAGTGAGTAAGGCCAAGAAGAATTTGTTAAGCCACCAAAGGAGAGCTCTCAGCTGTGAGAGAGGATGTAAGAGCAGGTAACCATCTGTCAGGCTGAGTTCAGCGTTTTTATGGGCTTACAAGGGGGAAATGCATGCTGACTGATTCATGGGTGGGCTTTGGAAAAATCACCATTCAGTTGGTTAAAAGGCATCATCCCGAAGGAACTGATAGAGAGATGGTAAGATGGGGATAGAAGTTCTCACTTCAGTTGTGGACTCTATCCAGAACCGGCAGCTCAGGTTTCAGGCTTTAAACTGGCTTCGGGTTGAAGATTGGGTTTTGCCAGGGGCCTATCCCTGTTTGCCTAGGAATTTATCTGTCTTCTGTCACTATCAATATGACCTTTTGATTCTAGCCACTTAGTAGGTGTGAAGTAGTATCACGTTGTAGTTTTGAATTGTATATTTCTGATGAGTAATGTTCTCAAGCATCTTTACATACACTTATTGGCCATTTGTATATCTTCCTTGGAGATGTGTCTATTCAGACTATTTGCCCATGTTTTACATTGGGTTGTCTTTTTATTATTGAGTTGCGAAAGTTTTTATAGATTATAGATACAAGTTAGTCCCTTATCAGATATATGATTTACACATACCTTTCTAGATGGTGTTCTTGAAGCACAAAAGTTTTTTTGTGGCTCTCAACAATATTCTCTTAAAAAAAATACACTCCAGTCTGGGGCCTGGTCACAGAGCAAGACTCAGTCTCAAAAAAACAAAACAAAATAAAACAAACAAACAAAATAACAAGGCTGGGCATGGTGGCTCATACCTGTAATCCCAGCACTTTGGGAGGCTGAGGTGGATGAATCACCTGAGGTCGGGAGTTTGAGACTAGTCTGACCAACATGGAAAACCGGTCTCTACTAAAAATATTAGAAAAAAGTTAGCCAGGCAGGGTGGTGCATGCCTGTAATCCCAGCCACTCAGGAGGCTAAGGCAGAAGAATCACTTGAACCTGAGGTCGGAGGTTGCAGCAAGCTAAGGCCCCATCATTGCACTCCAACCTGGGCAACAAGAATGAAACTGTCTCAAAAGAAAGAAAGAAAGAAAGAATCACCCTTATAAGGAGGATGAAGCACAAAAGTTTCGCATTAAGAATCCATTGTCATATCCAGGGTTATAAAAGTGTGCCCATTTGTTTTCTTCTTAAGCTACTGTTGTGATAACTTTTACATTTTGATGTTAAATCCATTTTGAGTTAATTTTTATGGATGTGTGAGGTAAGGATCCAATTTAATTCTTTTCGCTGTAGCTATCCAGTACCCTTTGTTGAAAACACTATTCTTTTCCTGTTGGATAATCTTGGTAGCCTTGTCAAAAATCAGTTGGTCATAGATGTATGGGTTTATTTTAGTACTGGCAGTTCTCTATATCTACCCTTGTGCCAGTACTATGTTGTCTTAATTACTGCTGCTTTGTAGTTAATTTTTAAAATCAAGAAGTGAGTCCTGCTTTGTTCTTCTCTTGCAAGTTTATTTTGGCTATTCTAAGTCCCCTTAAATTTCATACTAGTTTTAGAATCAGTTCGTCATCTTGCACAAAGAACTCAGGTAATAATTGTGTTGAACCACAAAGATATTCCGCAAGAAGAGCAACCCCAAGGCACATAATCGTCAGATTCAACAAGGTTGAAATAAAGGAGAAAATACTAAGGGCAGCCAGAGAGAAACATGGGGTCACCCACAAAGGGAAGCCCATCAGACTCACAGCAGATCTCTCAGAAGAAATACTACAAGCCAGAAGAGAGTGGGGGCCAATATTCAACATCCTTAAAGAAAAGAACTTTCAACCCAGAATTTCATTTCCAGCCAAACTGAGCTTCATAAGTGAAGGAAAAATAAAATCCTTTGCCAACAAGCAAGTACACAGAGAGTTTGTCACCACGAGGCCTGCTTTACAAGAGCTCCTGAAGCAGGCACTACACATAGAAAGGAACAACCAGTACCAGCTATCCCAAAATCACACTAAATGCTAAAGAGCATCAACATAATGAAGAATCTATAACAACTAACGGGCAAAACAGCCAGCTAGCATCAAAATGGCAGTATCAAATTCACACATAACAATATTAACCCTAAATGTAAATGGACTAAATGCACCAATCAAAAGACACAGACTGGCAAATTGGATAAAAATCCAAAACCCATCAGTGTGCTGTATCCAGGAAACCCAACTCACATGCAAGGATGCACAAAGGCTCAAAATAAAGGGATGGAGGAAGATTTACCAAGCAAATGGAGAGCAAAAAAAAGCAGGAGTTGCAATTCTCATCTCTGATAAAATAGACTTTAAAGCAACAAAGATCAAAAGAGACAAAGAAGGCCATTATATAATGGTAAAAGGATTGATACAACAACAAGAGCTAACAATCCTAAACATATATGGACCCAATACAGGAGCACCCAGATACATAAGGCAAGTTCTTAATGACTAACAAAGAGACTTAGACTCCCACACAATAATACTGGGAGACTTTAACACTCTACTGTCAATATTAGACAGATCAACCAGACAGAAAATTAACAAGGATATCCAGAGCGTGAACTCAGACCTGGAGCAAGCAAACCTGATAGACATTTACAGAACTCTCCACCCCAAATCCACAGAATATACATTCTTCTCAGCACCACATCACACCTACTCTAAAATTGACCACATAATTGGAAGTAAAGCACTCCTCAGCAAATGCAAAACAACTGAAATTATAACAAACAGTCTCTCAGACCATAGTGCAATCAAGTTAGAACTCAGAATTCAGAAACCAACCCAGAACTGCACAGCTTCATGGAAACTGAACAACTGGCTCTTGAATGTTGACTGGATAAACAATGAAATGAAGGCAGAAATAAAGAAGTTATTTAAAACCAATGAGAATGAAGACACAACATGCCAGAATCTCTGGGACACATTTAAAGCAGTCTCTAGAGGAAAATATATAGCAATAAGTGCCCATATGAGGAGAATGGAGAGATCCAAAATTGACACCCTATTGTCAAAATTGAAAGAGCTAGAGGAGCAAGATCAAAAAAACTCAAAACTCAACAGAATACAAGAAATAACTAAGATCAGAGCTAAACTGAAGGAGATAGAGACACGAAAAACTCTTCAAAAAATCAATAAATCCAAGAGTTAGTTTTTTGAAAAGATCAACAAAACAGACAGACCACTAGCCAGATTGATAAAAAAGAAAAGAGAGAACAACCAAATAGATGCAATAAACAATGATAAGGGGAAATCACCACAGACTCCACAGAAATTCAAACCATCATAAGAGAATATTACAAACAACTCTATGCACATAAACTACTAAACCTGGAAGAAATGGATAAATTCCTGGACTCTTGTGTCCTCCCAAGCCTAAACCAGGAGGAAGCTGAAACTATGAATAGACCAATACAAGGTCAGAAGTCGAGGCAGCAATTAAGAGCCTATCATACAAAAAAGCCCAGGTCCAGATGGGTTTACAGCCGAATTCTGCCAGACACACAAACAGGAGCTGGTACCATTCCTTCTGAAACTATTCCAAATAATCCAAAAAAAGGGAATCCTTCCCAAATCATTTTATGAGACCAATATCATCCTGATACCAAAACCCAGCAGAGACCCAACAAGAAAAGAAAACTTCAGGCCAATATCCATGATGAACATAAATGCAAAAATCTTCAATAAAATATTGGCAAGCCAATTGCAACAGCAAATCAAAAAACTTATCCATCATGATCAAGTAGGATTTATCCCAGGGATGCAAGTCTGGTTCAACAGACGCAAGTCTATACACATAATTCACCACATAAACAGAACCCAAAACAAAAACCACATGATTATCTCAGTTGACACAGAAAAGGCATTTGACAAAATTCAACAGCCCTTTATGCTAAAAACCCTCAATAAACTCGGTATCGATGGAACGTATCTCAAAGTAATAAAAGCTATTTACGACAAACCAACAGCCAATATCATACTGAATGGGCAAAAACTGGAAGCATTCCCTTTGAAATTCGGCACTAGACAAGGATGCCCTCTCTCACCACTCCTATTCAATATAGTACTGGAAGTTCTAGCCAGAGCAATCAGGCAAGGAAAAGAAATAAAGGGTATTCAAATAGGAAAGGAGGAAGCCAAATTGTCTCTATTTGCAGACGACGTGATAGTATACCTAGAAGACCCCATCATCTCAGCCCAAAAACTCCTGAAACTGATAAGCAACTTCAGCAAAGTCTCAGGATATAAAATCAATGTGCAAAAATCACAAACATTCCTCTACACCAATAACAGACTTAAAGGAAGCCAAATCAAGAACGAACTGCCATTCACAATTGCTACAAAAAGAATAAAATACCTAGGAATACAACTCACAAGGAACGTAAGGGACCTCTTCAAGGAAAACTACAAAGCACTGCTCAACAAAATAAGAGAGGACACAAACAAATGGAGAAACATTTCATGTTCATGGTTAGGAAGAATTAATATCATGAAAATGGCTATACTGCCCAAAGTTATTTACAGAATCAATGCTATCCCCATCAAGCTACCATTGACTTTCTTCACAGAACTGGAAAAAACCACCATGAACTTCATATGGAACCAAAAGAGAGCCTGCATAGCCAAGTCAATTCTAAGCAAAAAGAACACAGCAGGGGGCATCACACTACTGGATTTCAAACTATACTACAAGGCTACAGTAATCAAAACAGCATGGTACTGGTACCAAAGCAGAGATATAGACCAATGGAACAAAACAGAGGCATTGGAGGCAACACAACATATCTACAACCATACAATCTTGGATAAACCTGACAAAAACAAGCAATGGAGAAAGGATTCCCTGTTTAATAAATGGTGTTGGGAAAACATGCTAGCCATGTGCAGAAAGCAGAAACTGGACCCCTTCCTGACACCTTACACTAAAATTAACTCCAGATGGATTAAAGACTTAAACATAAGACCTGGCACCATAAAAACCCTAGAAGGAAATTTAGGCAAAACCATCCAGGACATAGGAGTAGGCAAGGACTTCATGAATAAAACACCAAAAGCATTGGCAACAAAAGCCAAAATAGACAAATGGGACCTAGTGAAACTCCACAGCTTCTGCACGGCAAAAGAAACAGTCACTAGAGTGAATCGGCAACCAACAGAATGGGAAAAAATTTTTGCAGTTTACCCATCTGTGAAAGGGCTGATATCCAGAATTTACAAAGAACTCAAACAGATTTACAAGAAAAAAACAAACAAGCTCATTCAAAAATGGGCAAAGGATATGAACAGACACTTTACAAAAGAAGACATATATGAGGCCAACAGTCATATGAAAAAATGCTCATCGTCACTGGTCATCAGAGAGATGCAAATCAAAACCACGTTGAGATACCATCTCACGCCAGTTAGAATGGCGATCATTAAAAAATCTGGAGACAACAGATGCTGGAGAGGATGTGGAGAAAAAGGAACACTTTTACACTGTTGGTGGGAGTGTAAATTAGTTCAACCATTGTGGAAGACAGTGTGGCGATTCCTCAAGGCCTTAGAAATAGAAATTCCATTTGACCCAGCAATCCCATTACTGGGTATATATCCAAAAGACTATAAATCGTTCTACTATAAGGACACATGTACACGAATGTTCATTGCAGCACTGTTTACAATAGCAAAGACCTGGAGTCAACCCAAATGCCCATCAATGATAGACTGGATTGGGAAAATGTGGCACATATACACCATGAAATATTATGCAGCAATCAGAAATGATGAGTTTGTGTCATTTGTAGGAACATGGATGAATCTGGAGAACATCATTCTCAGGAAACTGACACAAGGACAGAAATTGAAACACCGCATATTCTCACTCATAGGCAGGTGATGAAAAATAAGAACACATGGACACAGGGAGGGGAGTACTAAACACTGAGGTCTACTGGGGGGTAAAGGGGAGGGCCAGTGGGGTGGGGAGCTGGGGAGGGATAGCCTGGGGAGAAATGCCAAATGTGGGTGAAGGGGAGAAAGGAAGCAAAATACACTGCCATGTGTGTACCTATTCAACTGTCTTGCATGTTCTGCACATGTACCCCAAAACCTAAAATGCCATAAAAAATTAAAAAAAAAACAAAGTAGAAAAAGAAAAGAATTGTGTTGAATATGTAGTTCAGTTTTGGGAGTATTACCATTTCAACAATGTTACATCTTACAATTCATGAACTTGGCACATTTTTTCTTTTATATCAATCTTCTTTAATTTCTTTCAATGTTTGTAGTTTTCAGAATATTCTTGAGTCAATTTTGGTATTTTGCGTCTTTCTAGGAATTTGTTTATTTCATCCAAGTTATCTAATTTATTACGTACAGTTGTTTATAGTATTACTTTTAAATCCTTTTTATTTCTGTAAAGTCAGTGGCAATGTGCCCATTTTTGTACTAATTGTAGTAATTGAAGTATTCTGTTTTCTTCTTGTTCTATCTATCCAAACATTTGTCAGTTTTGTAAATCTTTTTGAAGAACCAGCTTTTAGTTTCATTGATTTTCTTTATTGATTTGTATTCTCTATTTCATTAGTTTCTGTTGTAGTCTTTATTATCTCCTTCCTTCTGCTTGCTTCAAGTTCATTTTGGTATTTTCCAGTGCTGTAATCAGAAAGTTAGGTTATTGAATTGTAATATTTTTAATTTTTTTACATTTCTTCTAAGCACTGCTTCAGCTGCTTACCAAAAGTTTTGTTGTGCTGTGTTTTTATTGTCTTTCACCTCAATGTAGTTTGTGATTTTTTCCTTTTGATTTCTTTTTTGGCCCATTGATTATTTATGAGTGTGTTATTTAATTTCCACATTTTTGTAGTGATTTTCCCCAGTACTTTTCTGCTTTTGAGTTCTACTTTTGTTCCATTGTGGTCAGAGAACATATTTTGTGTTGTTTCCACCTTTTAGATCTTATTATTTTTTTTTATTCTTATTTTTTTATTGCATTTTAGGTTTTGGGGTACATGTGCAGAGCATGCAATACAGTTGCATAGGTACACACATGGCAGTGTGTTTTGTTTGCTTTCACCCCTTCACCCACATTTGGCGTTTCTCCCCAGGCTATCCCTCCCCATCTCCCCCTCCCACTGGCTGTCCCCTTTTCCTCCCAATAGACCCCAGTGTTTAGTACTCCCCTCTCTGTGTCCATGTGTTCTCATTCTTTTAGATCTTATTGAGGTTTGTGTCATCAATAAGTTCTAAAGGATATAGTCTCTCCTGGGGAATGTTCTGTGTACACTTGAGAATAATGTATATTCTGTTGTTATGCTGAATGTTCTATAGATGTCTACATCTATGTAATAGA